TCTCTCTCTCTCTCTCTCTCTCCCTGCCACCATAATATCGGGGGCTGCCCAGTTTGTCACAGGCATAGTTTAAAATGGTCACAATTTCAATTAAGTATTTGAGTATATATGACAGTCATAATTACAGCACTTTGACACTGTAGTTGTAACTTACGCTTTTTTTTATTCTCCACCTTCAAATTGGCGGTGTAGAGATAGTCCCTCTAAAATGTCAATTCACATTGTGTTGTTCAATAGTTATTCCTTTTCGTATGCAAATCAAAGCAAATTTAAATTACTCTGTAACATTTCAACAATGAATGTTCTTTCGTTAAAAGCAATTGACAAATAAAATCCGATTCATAGCCTACAGCGTCAATCATTAATTTGCTCTTTTTGAAAGTGTCAGTGATAACTTCCATCATGCAGGGCACAGTTGAGGCCTGTGACAAACACCTGTGACAAACTGGCATGCTTCCGTCAACAGAATAAACTCACGCATAAACACGAATAAACTTCACGATATACATATTATGTATTTCTATTTACACGCTCGTACGCACATTCTTTTACACTCACTCACTCTCACACACGTAAAAAAACCCACTCATACATAAATATACTCTTATATACATCCAACACACATACACAGTCAAACATACGTTGACATATTGAAAGAGAGGAAGGGGTGGGGGGAGAAAGATGTTCTTTCCCTTCTGCAGCTTTACGCCCTTGTTCTAGCGTTAATCTAAAGAATGCGTGTATACGTTCACCGACTTGAGCTTTGTGTAGAGATGAAGATTTTGTAAAGCACATATAAGAGACCTATTGTATTGTATGGGAGTAGGTGGTATATTAGCCTTTATAGGCCTAGATCTACTATAGAAATTTTAATAATCTGCGTCATTGTGATATAACTGACGTGTATACTGATTTCTTCAGTTGTATTTCAAACGCACCCCCCCCCCCCAAAAAAAACAACAACAACAACACACCAACAAATCCCCAAACAAACCCCAAACAAAACACACCCCCCCCCCCAAAAAAAAACCCTATAAAAAACGACCCCCATGCCAACCCAACAACATTTGACAAAATAAATAGAAAGCATGTTAATTTTTTTCTCCAGTTGCACAGAGCGTTTCACCATTGGTTGAAAAAAAAGTGGGGGTTTTTTCTCCTTAGTTTACGTTCGTTGTTCTGAAATTAAAAAGGTTGTACTAATTTCTGTTAACTTGCGGTGTGTATAATAAGAATATATGACAATATATCTCTATTTCTTTTTCATTCACGAGCATGCAAAAGGACGCTCGCGCGCGCGCACACACATACATACACACACACACACGCACGCACTCACGCACACACACACACACACTCACACACATGTAAACGCATACACACACACACACACACACACACACACACACACACACACACACACACACACACACTCACCCACACACACCAAACGCTCACTCAGCAAAAAAAACCACACACACACACACACATCAAAAAAACACACACGCGCATACACACACAAACACACACACACACATACACACACACACACAAACACACAGTTACCTACTATCTATCAAAGTGGTAGTTAAAGAGGCAAATTTAAAAGACTGCAGAGAACGATCGACACAAATTAAATCAACAAGAGATAATTAATGTCACGATATAAGATCAGAAACGTCTACAAATTTAAAGGAAAATAACTCTTTTAATTAGATTTTTTTTAAATTACTGATTGTTTCCCTTTAACAAGGTTATTGCTTGTGTTGTATCATTTCAGATTCCTCCTCGCTATCATGTGCAACACTCTACATCTAATACTGGATCTATAAGAACACTCCAAATAACAATTTGATTCAACTGGGTACCCGATACAGTTACTAATTTAAAAAGTTTACTTCTTATTGTAAATACAAGTCAGTATGTCTCCTCCCCCCCCTCCCCCCCGCCGGCTGACACAAACGAAGAACGACTACTCTCATCTTCATAAGTTCTCAAGGTTTTTGCTCTCAATTGAAAGAAATTAATTTTGTTCCATAGCGGAAGTAACACAGCTGTCCACAACACTTCGATGCTAAAGCAGAAGACGAAAACACAGCATTCAACTTTCATTCTATCATTTAGGTTTTACACTCCCATGGTTTTTTGAGAGAGCTGACATAGGTACACATGAGCTTAGTATGAGATGTAAAGCTTGTGCCAATTATTTCACCATTGTCATTCATCATTCTTCTTCATCTTCTCCCTCTGCCGCTTCCATCTTCATTTTTTAATATTTCATTATTTTTATGATGTGATTGTGATGCCCGAAGACGAGAATGAGAACCTAATGATGAGAAAGCATCTCTAGATCTAGATCTAGATCTAGCCTCTTTAGGCTATTATAAATCAAAATAAGTCTTTCAAGTTACTTACAATCCAGTGATTCGATGATAGCAGACAGACTCTAGTAGTAGGGGAGGAATTTTGTGCCGTAAAGAGCGACCACTATGAAACAGTCGAATATAGAGGGTTTGGTTGGGGTAGGGGCAGAGGTTGGGTCAGGGTTAGGGTTAGGTCTCGGCAATTGTTTACTTTCTCGAGTTTAATTCCGATCTAGAAGAAACTCTTTGCCTCCCCGACTGGATATTCAAAACTTTGCGCAGGAGTTACGAATACGTAAACCATGGCAATTTCATCATTTGTTGTAGGCAGTAACATACTTGCTAGGCCTTCTGTACTGATTTTGATGACCATTGTCTTTGAGTACAAGCCCACGTGGGACGCTCAATGTTAAAAACAATCAGGAAACGACAAAAAATGCAGTTTTTGGGACACATAAATAGACATAAAAGAGTCTTGAACATCTAGCTCTCACTGGCAAAATTGAGGGCAAGGGAGGCAGGGGAAGGCCCAGAACAACATACTTGGGGAACTTTTATCAAATAAATGGGTAACGGGGAAAGATCAGGGAAACGTGGCTTTTTTGAGAGCATCTGAGCAAAGGAATGAATGGAGAACCGTGATTGCCGATGTCTGTCGCAGATCTGGCTCTAGATGATGATGAGTATATTTTTTCATAAGATTTGAAGACTGCACTGTTTCATTCACTACATAATCAATTGAAAGGGAATTAAAATTTGAGCAAAAGAAATAAATTTTCTCACAAAGAAATGGATACTATTTTGGAAAGTATTGTGGAGTATTTATAGGGGCATAGTCGAGCCGATGGTGCGGCTTACTACTAGTGGTAGTGGTGAAGAAGATGCTGAGCCGTTCCTCATTGTAGTAACAGAGTTAATTTTGTTATCTGAAAATTTACTTGCAAGTTCCTGCCATAATTTTATTACTTTGATTTCTTTTCTTCCTTCGACAGTGTTTTGAGTATGGCATGAGACCTGTCATATTCAAGTCTATTGAGAACAATGGCTTTCAAGCAAAAGTTGAAATCCCTCATTGCTGGGGGAAAGCAAGTAAGTGTTCTTTTTCTTTTTCTGTTGTCGTTGGTTTTAAGTGTTGTTGGTTTTTTTCCAATGTGTTTTTTTTTTTTTTACCTAATAGGATCAGGAATCTAGGGGAGAGAAAAATGGCCTGCTGTTTGGACTTCATATGTCATAGTACAATGCTAACTGTGAATAATTGACTTCAATGTATAGTCGCTTTCTTATCCTTTTTCATTCTGTCTTCTTACCTCTTCCATTTAAAATGACTTACATTATTATAATGTTTAGGTATGGTCATGAGACACCTACCAGAATAAGATCATAATGAAAATATGGTGTGAGTGTGCCTTGCTTTTTGTCTACTTTTCAGGTTGTGGAACGTGGGTGGTTGGCGGGTGCTCTAGTGTAGTTTGCCTGTCAAACATCTATCGTCTTTACTTTATCCCTCCTTCTTTTTTGTGTTTGTTACTACTTGTAACACCTCTAATCTTCTGCACTTATATGACCTTATTGTGTTGCAAGTGCCGTAAAACTTACTTAAGCTAAAAGGTTGTGGAATACATCTCATTGCTGTACAGATTTAATGCTTATTTTTTGTTCTGTTCTTTAGGACAGCCTCCAGTCGCCAGTGGAGGAGAGTGTGTCTGTGTCAGACATTTTGTCTGTTGGGGCCGCAGTGACCAAGAGTAAGGTAGGGTATTTTGTTGTTGTTGTGGATTTGAGTTGATATCATATATATCTGATGATTTGGACTTGGAGCACTGTATTTATATGAATGTGAATCATAATGTTGGTTTGATAGTGTTTTTATCATTTCTTTTCTTTTGTTGTGACCTCAAAGCTGGAATAACAGCGAACTGTCCCAAAAAACTTGTTATATAGAGGTTAGCTTGTTATTGTATTTTTGTTCAAGAATTGGTCCTCAAAAAATCTGGTCTGTGATGCAATAGCCACTTTGATTTCCTATGATCTATTTCTTTGCCATTATAAAAGTGGCTAAAAATACCAGTACAATCCTGTGTCGCGGTACTTTTTGTCCAGCCTCGCGTATCGCCAGTCACCACGGCCATGTTCGTCCATTGCTGTCCTACTCCTCGTCGGAAAATTCCTCGCTCTTCTATTTCTCTTTCATTGAGGAGTTTCACATTATGACCTTGTAAAAAATGTGAAAGTTTCTATTTGAGTGAATAAAAAAAGCCGGCTTATATGTGCAGTATCTGAAATAAACAAAAAAAATCCCCCAACCCACCCTACTTATATCATTGAGATTTTCATTTTTCTGAAGTCATAAGGTTGGCCATGGTAAGCTTAGGCCAAAATAATTACTGTATGGAATGTGTTGCGGCCATGACGATGATTTATGTGGTGAACAAACCGTTTTATACAGCATTGTTCTGTTTTTATGTATGTTACATAACAATGATTTACGTGGTGAACAAACTGTTTTGTACAGCTTTGTTCTGTTTTTATGTATGTTACATAACAATCATGTACGTCGTGAACAAACTGTTTTGTACAGCATTGTTCTGTTTTTATGTATGTTCCAGGTGGAGAAGAAACCGGTGAACCCTCATGAGGAGCAAGAGATTATAGACGGGATTGAGGCGGAATATTACAATAATGAGTCCTTTGATACTAGTCTTTTTCAATTACAAGTAAGTAACTGGTGTTTTTTTTTGTTTTTTTTGGTTTTGGATAAGTGTTTTACGGCGCTCGCCACTGCATAAGGTCAAATGAGTGGGCAGGACACAATGAGAGGCGAAAACCTTAACCTCTAGGCCACGAGAGCCCCCCAATTGTTGATTACAGGAACGTTAAAGGATTTAAATTTCAACATTTTTGGGGTTTCTATGTTCATTCTTTGATAAAATGGAAGAACATCCCAAAAGATTCACTTCCTTCCGCATGTTGATTATGCTGGCTCAGTTCTTTTAAGCTTGGTGGGACAAACATTTTTCAAAATGAAACTTAGATGGAAAGACGAATTTTAAAAAATAGCCTGAACTAAAATGAGGGTTATTGTAGAAAAGATAAAAAAAATTATGTAAACTTAAAATGGCAGGATTAATTTTTATAATGACTTGTACTGGAAAGAGTGTGAACCAATCAGTCACTGAGAAATTTCATTTTTCTCGTCTCTAGAAACTTCCGGAGCAGCTTGACCTGGAGAAGATCATGGACGACAGTGTCCGACTCCGGACTCAGCTACAAGCTGTGAGTATATACAGGTCGAGCCTGCTGTTATGGCTGCCTATCCAAGACAAATTACCTGTTCAAAGGATCATTTCCCACTTTCATTCGTACCAACTGCAGTGAGGTTACTGAACACACAGTGCTACAAATGAAACGCACAGAGAGAGAGAGAGAGAGAGAGAGAGAGAGAGAGGGAGGGAGGGAGGGAGGGAGAGTTACGGAGCCGGTTGTCATGTATTTACTAATGTCATGTCTTGTTGTGAGTGTATGCGTGAGTGCACCTAGCCTTTGTAACGTCTACTGCCATTGTTAACGACCAAGACAAATTTTTCCCTGCGAGAGGAATAAAGATAGTCATTGTCATTTTTCTACATTATATTGACTGTCCTAGACATCTACCTGTGTAAGACAACCACTTTTCTACTCAACAATAGTTGGCCATCTTGGACAATTTCTACTACACATTCGTCGGTGGCCTAGTGGTTAGGCTACTGGACTCGTAATCGTGAGGTTGCGGGTTCGGGGGTTCGAGCCGCGGGCCCAATGTTATGTCCTTGGGAAAGGCACTTAACAAGAATTTTCCCCACTTCACCCGGGTGAAAATGGGTACCCAGCTATAGACAGTGAAAGATCTTGTCAGTTTGTTAGTGTTTGAGCACTTAACCAGCTGCTTGGACTGTATGCTTCCCGGGAAGCTGAGAATGTTTCTGAGTGTTCTATGGTCTGCTGGGGTAATAATATAGTGTGAAGCGCATAGAGCTTGCTTTCGAGTGGGGGCATGCGCTATACAAATGCTATTTATTATTATTCACTGTGTTTTATGCTCTAAACACGTAAGTGGTTTCTCGGAAATTGTTCCGCATGAGAAAAAAGACCCCTCTGATTTAAATATTTGATTCTATTTATAGCCCATGCTGGGGCCTGATTTTCAATGAGGATTATCAGATTGACCTCGGCAACGGTTTTAGAGCAACATAAAAGAATTTGACCTATTTCTTCCATTACACGGTCAGAGTATAACATCGTTGTTGTATGAGGAGTTTGGGTTATAGGCCAGACATCTGAGTGTGAGTAACGCTTATACTAACTGTCAACAGTCTGTAGGGATGGCTTATACATGGCACTCTTATACATCTTCTATCGGTTTTTTTATTTTTGATCTCCATTCCTCTGTGTGTCAGCCTGTCAGAATACTTTGTTTGTACGTCCCTCTATTCGTCCATCTCTTCCTTTCCCTCTATTTGTCACTGTTTTTTTTTTCCCCAGGTGTCAAAGCGGGTGTCAGCCTGTATGCATATTTTATTTGTTCGTCCCGTTATTTGTCCATCTCTTCCTTTCCCTCTATCTGTCTCTCGTTTTTTTCCCCCAGGTGTCAAAGCGGGTGTCGGAGCTGATCCTGCAGAACCACCCGGCCTATGCCACGGAGCTCCAGAGGGTCATGGATCTACAGCGCACGCTCAGAGCTGCCGGTCGAGTGTGTCAGACCGGCCGCAGGTAAACTATGCCTTTGTCTTTTTAGTTTAGTTTTGTCAAAGATCGTACATAACAAGATGGTTCACTCAGCCAAAAAAGGTGTCGGCGGAAGTCCGCGCATTGCTTCAGATGGCGCTGCAGTCTTTGTTTTTAAGCTCTCTTTCGTTTCTCGAGAAGAAGAATACAAAAAATACAGTTTTTTAGTTTCACTTTTATTGTTTTTTACACAAGTAGGGTAACTCTGTTCGCAAAGTCCGCACTTTTTCAAAGAGGACGCCTCCAAATTTTGAGGGCACTGTTTTAATTGGCTCAAAGAGAGGAGAGAACTATCTTGTTATACACGATCTATGGTTTTTGAAAGGTTTTTACGGCGCTCGCAACTGCATAAGGACATATTAGTGCCAATGGGTGGATGTCAACAGAGAAGTTAAAAAGGGGAATCAGGCTTACTCTGCTCACATCTCTAGCCTCAACAGAACAAAGTCTGCTTCGACTATCAAGGCACCCCGGAAATAACAGTTCACAAGAGAGTGACAAACATGCAAAAGAAATAGAGGGAAAAATGACAATAGTAAGGATGAGGAAAGAAAAAGCAGCAGTTCCCCCTATGTTGTTCCGGCACAGTATGAGCATGACATTGATAAATCAGCCCATTTACAATTCTTCTGTGCATAAGAACATGTTAATGTCCCCCCCCCCCCCTTTGGGAATGACCTAAAGACACTTCAGTCAGTAGCGCCGCCTGGGCGCAGGTAAACGTCTCTGTCTACCACAGCCATGGGCAAACTGTGGCTCGCAGGCCAGATGCAGCTCTTCAAAGAGTTTTGTAAAATTGACAAGAGTAGGCTTCGGCCGCCACCCCGGCAATATTCAAAATTTCCTACCAACTGAAAAAGTGTAATGTGTCCCGGGCGCTCATATGACCTTATGCAGTTGTGAGCGCCGTAAAACACTTACCAAAAAAAAAAGAAGTTTTGTGGGACCCCCGGAGACATTCAGTGAATAATAAAAAAAATTAGAAAAAATTAGAAATCAATCAATTTTAGTAGAACTAACTCCTTTTTATCTATACACTTTATTTTAGAAACAAAAAAAGCACCAAAAAAAGCAACCCCCCCCCCCCCCCCCCCCCCCACATTTATTGTTATCAAATACAATTGACCACTTTCTGTTGCCTCTAGGCACTTCGCAATGAAATGAAATTTCGACAGCTTACTCATTGACACGCTTCATGCGTACTACCCAAGTCAATGTACAAGAATGATTGATAATTGTTACAATCCTTTGAAATACACATTATGCCCAGGTATTATACCAATAAGAGTGATTCGACCAAAGAACACAAACATAAAATAACAATTACTATGGCTGCCGTAAGCTGATAAAAGACCTTTTTTTTCTTCAGAGCAGTTTCGAGAAAAAGAGGATTTTTGTCAGCGTAATCATGTAAAAATCAAGTCATTCTGAAATTTGAATTCTAATTTATTCAAAAACTAGTCACGGTTTCAATTTGTTTTTTTTTCACTCAAATTGGGTAACTGATCAAGCTTTCGATTTAGCAAATAATAAATTTTGGCGCGAAAATGAAAAGAAAGGCGTTGTGTTAGCTTATGGCAGTATGGCTGCTGATGACACTTGACTTGACACAGTGGGTGGTTGGAGGGTGATCTGGTGTGGTTTGCTTCCTTTTTCCTGTCAAACATCTATCGTGTTTATCTCCCCTCCTTCTTTTTTGTGTTTGTCACTCTCTTGTAACACCTCTAATCTTTGGCACTTATATGACCTTATTGTGTTGCAAGTGCCGTAAAACTCTTACTAAAGCTAAACTACGACTTGACACAAACTACAATTTGGCCTCACACAAACTACAATTTGGCCTCAACATTTCCGTCTACCTTCCCCAGGCAACTGTCTCACGCTCGAGAAAGCTTCACTATTGCCAGTTTAGGCTTGCTGGCCAACTATCGCAAGCGACAGCAGCTTGTGGGTCTACTGAAGTCGCTGCGCACCATCAAAACTTTGCAGCGCACCGATCTACGTCTCCGGGAGATGATGGAGGTAAAACTTGAGAACTTTCGGGCTGGTGTGTTCTGACAGACTTTATTCACATTGTGGGTGGTTGGCGGGTGCTCTGGTGTGATTTGCTCCTTCTTTCCTATAAAAAATGTATCGTCTCTATCTCCCCTCCTTCTTTTTTATGTTTGTTACTCTCTTGTAACACCTCTAATCTTCTGGTGCTCATATGACCTTATGCAGTTGCGAGCGCCGTAAAACCTCTACTAAAACAAGAGCTGAACTGTTGTTTGTTTTTTTCCTTTCCCCAGGAGGAAGACTACAGTGGTGCCATACAGCTGTGCCTGGAGTGTCAAAAAGCTGCCAGTACTTTCAAGCATTACAAATGTATCAGGTACCCTTCAATGAATTATAACTCTTTTAGGACAGCTCAACCTCTCTTGAGAAATTACCATAGGAAGCACGTGTGAGGCAGAGTGGGGAAATCGGGCACTCGTCAAAATAGTGAAATTCAAGCAACTAGTATTTTTCTGTCAGATTGGCAGTTTTTTAAATTTAATTTCTTTTTTTTTTTGGCTTAACACCATTGTTACCCAATTAATAACACACTTCTGGGTGGAGTTTTACTGAAAGACGTTGATTAAAGGCACAAATAATGTATGTTTTCAGTTTCCATTGACTATCAAGCTGCTATGGGAATAATCAGACTTTGGTGGCCATATTCTCACTTATTGTACCTTTGAAACCAGGCAGCCCTACCTTCTTCAATCTCAAATATCTCAACTTTTATTCAAGATAGATTGGTATTTTTTTTAACCGATAGCAAGACAACTGAACAAGCTGTAAGATGATACCAATAACTCAACATGCCCAAAAATTGACGAGCGTCCGATTCCACTGCGTCATAAGACATATTATGAACAGGGGTTTCAAACTCAAATTATAACGGGGCTGCTGGAGGTAGAATCTTCAGCATATTTATAACTTTATTGTGTATTGTGTAGCGAATGCCGTAAAACTTGTGCTAAAACTATACTAGTGGGTGGCTGGCAGGTGCTCTGGTGTGGTTTGCTCCTTCTTTCCTATCAAACATCTATCGTCCTTATCTCTCCTCCTTTTTTTTGGTGTTTGTTACTCTCTAGTAACACATAAATCTAATCTTCGGCACTTATATGACCTTATTGTGTTACAGGTGCCATAAAACACTTACTAAAACTTAACTAAAACTATACTAAAAGATGTTATGGACAGCAATAGCTTTCTTTTCTTCGTCATTGCCGCAGTGAGCTGAATTCCAAGCTGCAGGACACGCTGGAAATGATAGAGGAGCAGCTGGATGTGGCCCTGGCCAAGACCTGCGCCGGATTTGACGAGGTTCATTACAGCAAAGTGCAGAGAGCGTACAGACAGCTGGGAAAAACACAGGTGTGATGAACTCTTCCTTAACTCGCTCGCTGTCTACCTACCTTTGCTGCATAATTTGTGGCGCTCAAACTCTGTTTCAACTGCCTACTTTTACTGCAGCTCCTGCACTTACATACAGGGATGCCAAATCTCCGGTTTTTCCGGCTTTTTCCGGTTTTTTCCTACACTTTTAAAGGAAAGGGCAATGGTAAGAGAAATATTTTTGTTTGCTCATTTAAAGATTTTACAAGGTTCGTTTTAGGTGAGGTGTGATGCTCCGCTCATTTTCGTTTGGTTTTTTTCAAAAATCATTTGACATCCCTATATATATAGGACTTATTTATGTTGAGAGTTCAGTAAGACTCTTTCTAAAACTAAAGCTAAACCAAAAACTGTCTCCCCCCATCTCCCCACCCTAGACGGCGATGGACCAGCTTCACATGCACTTCGCCAGCGCCATTCACAACACGGCCTTCACCATCATCCTGGGCTACGTGGAGCTGTGCTGCGGTAATGGGGGCGTGTCCAACTTCCAGAAGCGACAGTACGCCGACCTGTGTAAAGTGAGTCAAAGACATTCACGTGTCGCGACCTCAGAATTACACTAAAGTTTACTATCTTGACATTTTTGGCTGTTTTGAGTTAGAGAGAGAGAGAGAGACATTCTATCATTATTATTATTGTTATTATTAATACTATTACTATTACTATTATCATTTATAAAAAATTATTATTATTATTTATTATTATTATATTATTATTTAAAATTATTAATAATAAAATTATTATCAGAATGATGATGATGATGATGATGATGATGATTAATATTATTATTATTATCATTAATAATAGTATTATAATTAATGTTATTATTATTATTACTATCATTATATCATTATTATTATTATTATTACCATTATCATTATCATTATTATTATTATCATCATTATCGTTATAATTGTTGTGAACGTGTCCCCAGAGCATCAGCATCGAGACGTTCAGCCCCTGCCTGGTGGACCTGTGTAAGGCCTTGTGGGAAGTGATGAAGAGTTATTACCGCACCATGCGCTGGCACGAGCTCAACGATCAACACGACGGGGAACCCGCCGAAGCTGGTGAGTCTTGCCGCAGAGTCTCGTCTCGTCTCGCTTAGTGTCTTTGAGTCTTATACACCCACGGACACCCCCCGGGGCGGTGCCACTGACTGAAGTGTCTTTAGGCCATTCCCAAAGGGGGGACATTTCTCGTTCTAATGCACAGTAGAATTGTAAATGGGCTGATCCAACAATGTCATGCTCATAACTGTGTCTAAACTGCAACAGGGAACTGCTGAATTTTTTTTCCTAATCCTTACTATCGTCATTTTCCTCTACTTCTCTTGCATGTTTGTCACTCTCTTGTGACCTGCTATTTCCGGGGTGCCTTGAAAGTCAAAACAGACTTTGTGCTGTTCAGGCTTGAGAGGTGAGCAGGGTAAGCCTTACTCCCTGTAAAAACTTCTCTGTTGACATCCACACCTTGGTGCTCATATGACCATATGTGGTTGCGAGCGCTGTAAAACCTCTACTAAAACAAAACAAAAAAACCCACCCACGAAAGTTGGTGACTTTTCTCATCTAGCTTAGTGTCCTTGAATCTTACTGAATCTCTCACTTCTTACGATTGGTTTCCTCGTTGATTTGAAATTGACACGAGAGTGCACTGAACTGTGACGTATGAAAAATAAAGACAGTACGGATAAGTCATCATAAGTGTAGCACAGGATATATCGTTCGCAATACTCGTACAAATATCGTTGGTGTTACGCTTCAATTATAACTCCTTTTTTTGGTTCTAAAACCGTTGTTGAGCAGCAACAACAAAAACGGCAGAAGTAGCAATAAAAGCAACAACACAGCAGTAAGAACTACAACAACAACAACAGCAATAGCAACACCAACAACAGCAGCAGTAGCTTTAAATACAACAACAGCAGTAACAATGAAAACGACACAGCAGCAACAACGTTAGTAAAAACAACAACAACAACAATAGCAGTAATAACAACAACAACTGCCATAAGAACAGTTTCAACAGACTGGTAAAAAAAACCCAAAAACAAAATAACTTTCTGTGCAACGTCCCCCAGAGGACGCAGGCACCAGCGTGGAGGCGTCCTTCAACCGCCGCTACGTCACGCAGAAAATGGAGTACGGCCGCGGCCGCATCTGGCAAGACGTGCAGCAGAAGGTCAAGATGTTTGTCCTGGCCTCCGACCTCAGCGGCCTCAAACTGGACGAGTTTATCTACGTGCTCGACATCATCAACAGGTGAGGGCGTCGGGGGGGGGGGGGGGTCGCGTTTATGGTCAAGGTCGTCCATTTTGGGGGGGGGAAATAAATTGTCACGGTTGTAACGCAATTGCCTTCAGTTATTTCTTGTTACTTTGAGAACTTAAAAAAACTCCCCTGTATTTTTGTCACTGCGCTAGGAAAATGGCACATCTAATGTTTTGTACCTTTGAGATAAATGCAAAAAAACTATTTTACTAGAGTATTTATCATCTAGCAATGGTAAAACTTGCCAGGCATGTTTCTTTCGTGACTGCCAGCCCATTTTTGTTTTGGTTTTACCGAAAGATAACATATAACGTACCACCAAACAAAATAAAAAGACTAGTTACATTTTGCCACAACTTTGAGTTATGCTATTTTGTTAATGCTGTGACTATTTATCTAAGTCCATCTTATGACTTAAGTGAAAGTGTGCATGTCTCAGTCGTTAAACTTTTTTATTTGAAACAGACTTCTGCTATATTGAAGATATGAAATGTGTAGCAGACATTTTTGCCATGCAGATAATTATTGGAATTATAAAATTAAAAAATTGAGGGTTTAAAGTAGGAAGAAATTTAGGCTTTATTCCTTGTTACACTAGCTTGCTTTTATTTAACAAGAAGACTATAGGAATTGGAATGAGCTAGAAAATATGAGGGATAAGAGGGAAGATATTACTGATGAGCTACAAAATACTGGAAATGACCTAGAAAATATTGAGAAATACTGGGGGTGCGCCAGAAAAGATTGGGGATGGAGCTAGAAAAGATTGGGGATGAGCTAGAAAATATAAGGGATAGATCTGCTGTAGTGCATGGGAAGGAATTTTGTCCAAATTCCTCGCAATGTATTTTGTCGGCCAGCTGTTCATATGTACTAAGTATAACATTTTGAATTAAAAAGAAAAAAATTGTTACATCTTAATCTGTGATGTCGGTTGCATTTGCTGGAGAAATATTTTGATTAAATTCAAATTCTAAATGTTGGAAAAGTTAAGAAAAGCTGCACAATGTAATAGGTACAACTTTTGAAACAGTATTTTTTTTCTCTCCGTACAAATTTTGCACTCTAGACTTACAACAAGCGGGCAGTATTGCATACGAATGTATCTCAAAGGCCGCTAAAAATGACTTATGTCTGTATGCAATACTGCCCGCAAACATTTGAACAGCTTGATGAGGATACATTTTTAGGGGGAAACTTTGAATAAGACGGTATAGACTGGTGAATAGTTCTGTAGGGGATTTCGTCCAAATGCCCTGTCTTACAAATTTGAAATTTGTCTTTGGAACAGAATGATCGGAATCGGGGAGGAGTTCTGCGGCAGCAAGTCGGAGGGCCTGCAGGACTCGCTGAAGCAGCAGAGTCTGAACTACTTCAAGACGCACCACCAGGTCAGGCTGGATGAGCTCCGGATGTTTCTGGAGAACGAGGCCTGGGAAATGTGTCCGGTCAAGTCCAACTTCAACATACTGCAGCTTATGGTCAGTTGTCACCGATCTCTGTCTCTATCTGTCTCTCTCTCTCTCTCTCTCTCACTGTCTCTCTGTCTCTCTGTCTCTCTCTCTCTCTCTAACTTCAACGTATTGCAGCTTATGGTCAGTCACTGATCTTTCTCCTCCCCCCCTCCCCCCTCGTCTTTCTTTGTTAAGTCCAACTTTTACAATGTACATCTATTGGTAAGTCCCAGAAGACCCCGTTCAACACTTTATAGTCACTCGGAGCGTATAGCTCTGGCAAAAATTTCCCCTTCCAGTCACTGGGTGCATAACTGCATCAAGCCTGAGAAGTCTGGTCCAGTCTCTTGGTGCTGGTCTGTCTGGGCCTGTGTAACTTGGTGTTGCAGGACCTGCCAGAAAAACAAGTGACTGCCAAGGGTGTCTCTCCCCCC